CAGGGATATTCAGTTCACTTTACCTCCCTCCTCATACCCTCCCTGTTCCCCGCCCTCCCCCACAATCCCTCTTCAGGGACCTTTCTCATGAGCACCTTTTACGCGAGGAAACAAACTACCTCCTAAAACTAGGTGCTGTAGAATCAGTTCACACCCAACACAGAGGGAAGGGTTTCTATTCCAATTACTTCCTGATACAGGAAAAAGAATGGTTGTTGAAGACCCATTCTGGAACTAAGGGCACTCAACAAATTTGTAAAAATACGTTTCAAGATGGTTACCGTGGCAGCAGTAAACCCATCTCTTGACCCGAGGAACAGGTTCTCGGCCCTTGATCTACAAGACAATTACTTTCATATCACAATCCACCCATCCCGCAGGAGGTTCCTAAGGTTCACTCTGGGTCAAGATAATTTCCAAAACAAAGTGCTCCCATTCGGTCTATCTTTGGCACCTAGGGTGTTCTCAAAGGTCCTTTTCGTGTTAACAACGCACCTTCACAAACAAGGCATTATGTTATTTCCGTATCTAGATGATTGTTTGCTCTAAGCACATACCTTCACCGGCACCTTTAGAGACACATGAAAGACTATAGATCTATTCCTACAACTAGGTCTACAACTAAATACCCAAAAGTCCACTTTGACCCCATGCAACAGCTGGAATTCATAGGAGACTTGAGGGTTTTTTTGCCCACACTGCTCCTGTTGCAAGGCTGTTCAGAACTTCACTCCTCTGATGGTTAGAAACCTTTGCCTAATTTCGAGCCTAAACTGGTTGATGGCCAGTTTATATCCATTTGTTCGTGTCCACATTGGTGCTTAACTTAAATAACTCCACTCTCTCCTTGGTATTTATTCCTCTGAAACATGCTTCTGTTTTTTTTCTTTTAATGGTAACTATCCAATGAAGAAACGTAGGCATCCTTTATATCTGGTAACTCCTGCAAAATAAAATAAAATGAAATTAAATTAAAAAAAAGTTGCAAAGGAGAACAGTTGGGAGGACACAAAGGAATACAGTTATGTGGTTCTCTAGAAGTCATTAAGAGCAGGTATACTCTTGCATTTTGATATAATCACAGAAGACCATCTACCTCTGATCATAGTGCTCACTTATTATGGAGGTTAGTTTGTACAAATTGCAATTAGTTACAATTATAGTTAGTTTGTGCAAGTCGTTATGAGCTACAGTTAGTTTGTGCAAAACTGCAATGTCCTTCATATGATGAATCCTTTGAATCTAAAAATAGACCTTTCAGGGTTTTTTCTAATAATCCCTGATAATCTGTATGAAGTTTCAAAAAAATTTCAAAGCCAATATGTGCTAAAGCAGGAGTCTTTAGCTCTGCATTCAACCAGAGAGAGAGACATTTTCAAAAGTTAGGATTTGAATTGTGACTGCTAACTTTTCATTCCCACATCTGATTTTCTTCTGGAAATGATCAGTTTTCAATAACTGCCTATTCAGCAAACTACTCGGAATTTCCATCTGATTTTATGTTCTAAGTTTTTCTTTAGTAGAATAATGGGCTTTATTTTTTCTGGCAGAATTTTCCAGAGGTTCAGTTCACCTCTTTCTAAACTAATTGTATTCCTAAAGGTTGATTTTATTTTATTTTGGTCTGTGTCTTGAGGTGTTATTTAGAAAAAAAGTCCATTGTGGGATTTACCTGCATTTTTGGATGCTGAATCAGAAAGCTCATTCTAATCTGTGAAGTATAGATCTTTCAAAGAATCATATTGGATACTTTTTTTTATGCTGCTTATATTTTTCAGCTTTGATTTTCTTCTCCCTCAGTGGAGGAAGTTATGTTAACACAGTTTGCAGGGTAGAAGCCCTGTTGGGTCCCAGCTGGTTTCTGGATTTCCAAGAAGAAACAGACAAGAGTCCTTTTATGTTCTTTACTTGGGAGAAATTATAATCTTATTTTTAGATGCAAACCTCACTGCAGTTATCCATACATTTGTGACCAACATCCACACATTTGGATTACTGAAATGTACTCAATTGTGAGACCAATCAGAAACTTCAACTAGTGCAGGATATGGCTGAATGAAGAGGTGCTTCTCTCTGGGAGTGTATTATGTTGATATTCTGTCAATTGAACTGACTTCCAGTTTTGTTTTCTGGTGCAATTCAAGGTGATAGGCAAAGCTTAGCATAGTGTAAATTCTTGTTCTCTGAGACTGCCTCTCTATGTTCCATCTTGTGCACTGAAATTATCTTGGAATGCTCTTCTTGATAGGCTACAGATTTAAAATCAGGGGTGGGGTTCTAGCAACAGGACGTTTTCAGTGGTGGGGAGGGTCTTTGACTCTGCATCTTGCTTTACCCATGATTCCAAAAGAGGCTGATTTTTTTTTTTTTTTTTTTACTTCAGGGAATACTGCAAAATCCTCCTCCTTTTTTCCTAGGTGATATGGTGGGGTTTGACTATTTTATTTTTGTGCAGGAAAGGTTATTTTTTGTTTTTTTAGCAAGAGATGCCTTACTTATAACAATCAAAACTGTATTTAATTAAGGGGCATATTTATTGTGATGGGGTGGAGATGGGGACGCTAAATTAATTCAAATGCTTCTTCAACAAATATTTATGATTTTTGAGGGAAAGAGTTTGTGCCAGGGTGTGAGACCTGGTTTAGAGACACTGCATTATTCCCAGCAATCATACAGTTAACCCTTTCTTTAGATTTCACATAGATGTACTGGGTCTGGGTGAGTAAATATGTGGAGCTGAGGGGCCCAATCAGGCACTCAGAGGGGACCAAGGTAACTTTGTTTCTCTTTGGTAATCAGAGAGGAAACATTTGTGAGCAGGCTGATCTCCACACCCATTTGTTAGAAGTCCAAGTTGCAGATCAACTTGTGTTTTCTTACATTGGATTCTATGTTTATGTAATAAAGAATTTGCTTTTTTTTCTTAAAACGTGTGCACACCAGTGTCCAAAGGAGAGTTTATCTCACTTGGAGAAATACTTGTTGGTTTGTTTTGGGTTTTTTTGTTGTGTTTTTGTTTCTTCCTCCACTCTCCACCCCCACACCCCCTCTCCACCACCATGCAGGGTTTGATCTCTGGTGTCAGCAATGAATGATCAAAGATGCTATGGATAGCACAGTTAGGTTTATGGCTTTCACCACTGTTACTATTGCATATATTGTTGATTTTAACTTCAAAGCTATTCTAGTATACTGAGAGGGAGAAACAGGTAGCCATAAGGTGGAGTGGCAGATTATTTTAAACCCTGGATGCTGGGAATTGGGATTTCCTGTTACGGTCTAACTGCCTAATAAGGCATTGTGCCATGATGACATGAAACACTTAAGCAGATTGTATTTAAGGAAAGTATAGACATTATGAGGACATTTTAATCCAATTACATAGTAACTAGCTCAGTAGCAGATTCCAACAAGTGCTAGCCAGCAAAGTAGGCTTCTGGCCAAGCAATCTCTCAGCAGAGTTTTGCTTTTAAGTGGTCTTGTGAAGTATACTGTCTATGGAATCACATTCTCATCCTGTGGCAGTACAGTAGGTAAGAAGCTTTCTCAGCGCTTGTGATTTGTTGCAAAATATATGGGAGCCAAATTAAGGGGTAAATCTTAAATCTAGTATTCTGTGTGAGTAACCAGGTCAGGGGCTGGACACATCCTTAGAGTTAGGGAGCATGGGAAGAGTAGCTACCTTATTGAAGCGTCTTCAGAAGCCTGTACAGCACCTCACCCAACCCTTCCACAGAGAGTGGTTTGGAGGGTCTGTGTAATAGATGTGTCTCCTAGGACCCGAGTCACACCCTTCCCCTTGCCCACCTATGGCCTAGCATATCTCCCTCTGCCCTCTGCTCCCTGATATGCAGGAACCATGAGGGAATGGGGATATTTGCCTTAAAGTGCAGCTCTCCTCCTCCACTGCCCCCACTTATGCAGTGGAACAGCCAGTTCTGGTGCCAGCAGACCTTTTGTGGAGACAGGGGCAGATTTTGCCCCTAAAGGAATACCTATTAAAAAAAAAACTCCATGCACTGATACCAAAATATAAGCAAATACAGCAAAACCTGTTAGGATAGATACCTAATTACTCTATCTTTTGACTATTCAGAATGGGAGAACAGAGGTTCTCATTTTTGTTTAAGTAAGAACTTAATGCAGTGTGAATACTCATATTTTATAGACTATATTTCCGTACCTTCCTACTTCTCTTATGAAATTAGAAAATTTAATCTTTTTAAATCTATAATATTAAAAAAAAATCCTGTGACTTGGCCTAATTTGTGTAAAACTTTTCATAGGCAGGAGGATGCAAGTGAAATCTGTCCCTCTTTGGAAGAATCACTTCAGTGTGTTGTGGGAGCTCCATGTTCAGCAGAGGAAATGAGGTCACTTTATAAACTCTTTGAGGCAGGGACCCTGGGTGAGATCCTGGTTACACAGAAGTCAATGTGAGTTTTGTCACTGATTTCGATGGGGCCATGATTTGAACCCTTGTGTTTTTGCATTTGTCTATAAAACTTCTTCCCCCTTTGGATGTACACATTGGCAAATTAATATTTCTCCAATTTAATTAACTATACTCATTTATACATTTTTTTGCATTATGTTTTTGAGGACTTCTGTGTTTGGACTAATGCATCCTGCTATTTACATTTTCTTTTTGTAAACCCTTACTAGCATATCAACTGCAAATAAACTTTGTTACATTGTTGTAGTGCATTTTATACTTGGCAATTGTAACATCTAAATTAAAAAGCAGCTCAATCATAAATTAAATGATTATTGTATTAGTTCCCTATCCTACCAAATGTAATGTTTGCTACTATGAACAGTCACATTGAATAGGGCCCTCCGTTTTTGGATCTGTGAGTTAGGTTATCAGCAGTCAGGAAAAAAAAAAAGCAAAAATGACATCTCCATATATTCTTTTGCATAACTTTCCCCATTTGGACCTTGATCTTGACCGTTTTCTATCCTGTTTGTCTGCTATTCCTATTTTTCCTCATTATTAGAAAAGGCACTCTTGGTGCTTATGCTGGAGCCCATAGAGGAGCTTTCAGAAGAGGAAAAAGGTAATGATGGGATCAGTCAAAAATGTAGTGGGCATTACTTGTAAACATTTTATTTGAAAATAAAACTGGATAACATTGTTTGATACCTACAATATTTTTCTGTAGTTTCGAACATGCTTTATGTAATTTGAGCAAGACGTATGACTATCCCATTTGTTGTTGATGCTTGTAAAATATAATTTCTCTATCCGGTTTCAGTATATTCTGATGGGGATCTAAAAAATTATGCAATAAGTGTGTTCCATACATCTTTCTAGGTATCTGTATGTTTTAATTTTACACAAATGAATACATTCTTATGAAGCTCTTTGTATATTTGTAAAACAGCAATATTAACTAACCAAAATAACCTAGTATCAGACTAATTAACAAAAGATCATAAGGCAATGTTCTCTGGTTTGCTAAGGCCACTTTGCATAAGCTTAAAGTGGCCAGAGATGGTCCATGGAGGGGAACTCTCCAGAGGTTTAAATCTGGTGAGGGCAGTGCTGCTGCCTTCTATATTAATAACTTTTCCACCCTCCGCGTAAGGTGATGGGGGGTGAGGAGTGAGCAGGATGGGGAGGGGGGAATTTGTGGTGGAGTTGAGCTCTGAGGTGCCCAGTCCTCTACTGTCCTAACACCCCAGGGACTTTTTGCAATTAATGAAGTGAGTGCTGCTCCTGTGGAGCACTAACTCGAGCCAGGCCTAGGCAACTCTGAATTATCGTACCAAACCCCACTGTCTGTGGCAGCTCCTCCATTCCACCTGAGTGCAGCTTGGATAAGTGGAGAATCAGGGCCCTAGGATTTACCATGCTAAAATAAACACCTAGTATGGTATCCTGCCCCTGGCAGTGGCCAGTATCTGATATTTCAGAGGAGGGCAACACCTTCTCTCTCATGTCATATGCATATTTAATACACAGACAGTTATGCAGAACTGTACATTAAAGGAAAAATCCTTCTTGACCCTCACAAGCAATGAGTTTAAATCCGGAAGGAAAAGATATGATGTGAAAAATGTTAATACTTCTGTACAGTGCTTCAGTGAGAAATTTCCTAAGGAACAACCAGCTGCCCTCACCCATTTTTAGTAGAGCTCGCTTGCATTTTCTCCTTCCTTCCCCCAGTCCATCTGCTGCTCCTGTCTGCTATTTTCTATCTTGTATACTGTGTTGTTGTAGTCATGTCAGTCCCAGGATATTAGAGAGACAAGGTGCGTGAAGTAATATCTTTTATTGGACCAACTTCTGTTGGTGAGAGAGACAAGCTTTCAAGCTTACACCGAGCTCTTCTTCAGGTCTGGACTTCTGTGAAAGCTCAAAAGTTTTTCTCTCTCATGAACAGAAGTTGGTCCAATAAAAGATCTTCTATCTTGACTGATTATCCTTGATTCCTTTGATCTGCCCAAAAGCACATCTTGCAATACTAACAAAGAAAGAGGACAGTCTGAAAAGACAGAAAGGTCAATATGTTCTTGTTTTCAGTCACAGACATCTGTGAGGGAGAGTATGAAAATTGCTGGGCATAAAGATTACTTTTTGAGAGGAACATAGAAATTGCCTGACAGAATCAGACCTGAGGTTCATCTAGTCCAGTATCCTGTCTGACCGTTGTCGGCACAAGATGTTTCAGAGGAAGGTGTGAGAATCCCGCAGTGGGAAGATGTAGGATAATCTGCTATCCACAATAAATATAATCCTGGTTTCAGTTAGAGATTGATTTAGTTGTTGAACCGTGAGGTTTACTATTCCTTCCAAAATTTTAATTAATTACAACAATTCTGGTTATTCTTGATACCCCTATAAACATCCAGTCTCTTTTTGAATTTTTCTGAGTTCTTGGCTTCGGCAAGTTTCTGTGTCAATGAGTCCACAGAGAGTACCAGAAGAGCTGAAAATTAAAGCAAACAAGAAGTTTAAACAAGGTTTTGAAATAATTTACAACTTGCAGACTTTTTGTGGTTTCCCATTCCTTGATTATGCAGTGTACCTAAAAGATTTTTGTTTTTTATGGCTTACAAAAAACAGTTTCCATTCTGGAATAAGAAAGGAACTAATAGCTCTAAGCCACAAAAACAGCAAGTTAATGAATACTTTTAAGAAACAATATTTAATACAGAATCAAAGGGATTGCAAATAAATTATTGAGGACAAGATCAGATATAAAATTATTAAATAAGATTAAGATCGAATAACAAGGAAGGTGAGTATAAAATACTGTTCTCTAAATTATCAAAAGTAGGTTTTTGTAAATTAATTTTCTACTAGCTGCAGTTTCAAATGCATTTAGGTCAAGATTTTCAGAAGTAACTAGTGATTTTAAGCAACAGAGGGTCCTGTGGCACCTTTAAGACTAACAGAAGTGTTGGAGCATAAGCTTTCGTGGGTGAATGCCCACTTCATCAGACGCAAGGGGATTTTAAGTGCCTCACCTTTTGATTGCCAAGCCTGAACCACCTTAAAGGAACCCAAGTTGTAGAAAGTGCTCAGCAACCACCCCTGAAAACCAGGCCCCTTTAAGATGTCTCTTGTTGGGCAGCGAAAGTCACTGCTCACCTTTGAAAATCTTGGATTTAGTCTGTATTCCAAATTGATTCCTTTGCACTGTATTGTTACATAGTAATTTTACAGGTTTGCTGATAGTTGTATGGGCACTTTTAAAAATTAGTGTTTTCAGTGGAGAAAATGTGAAAGTTAAATTGAATCACTTTTTAAATAAATAAGGTTTACAAATGACAATAATGACAAGTCTATTTTAAAATAAAACATGAAAAATCAGAGAGGGCTGAATTGTTCCTTGAGGCATGGTCCTTTGTATGGGATAGTACATAGCTATGCTATTATATCCCTTTCTGGGGTGTTATATGCTCCCCTCGAGTGCCCTATCAGCATTGTTGGCCAGTGCAGGATGGAGATAGGTGCCATAGTCCCTTCCCACTTGGTCATAGGGAAGGTCAGAGGTATCCAGTAATGTTCCTGCTGTGCCAAAGCCACAATCCAGGCAGGTTCTACATGTCTGGGAGGTGGGGAGAGCTTTGCTTCCCTTAACTCCTTTGTGTGGCCATGTAGGACCTGGGCATAATCTAGCCCTTAATCTTTTACTTGTCTGCCAGGGTCTGATTTGAGGATGTTTGTATTTTTCCTCCAAGAGTTGCTGGTCTCAGTGACATCTAGTGCAAGAATAAAGAATACAGCCTACCTTTCCTACTTTGTGTGTGTGATGCCATCAGCCCTTAAAGGAAAAAAAATCCTGTATTCAGGTCTAGGGGATTTTAAGACATGCAATATTTATCATGTGTGTTCTGTTAATTTGATAATTCAGACCATATTTTTTAAATTACTAAAATATTTAAATTCACCTTTTCACTTCCGAAAGGTTAAGAAAGAGCTACTACCTGACGCCTTATTGGAGAATGTTTAATGTTCGGGGAGCTCTGAAGGAGATGAGAAAAATCACTAGCTTGTCATATTTCCAATCAGAAGACATGACACAGAGTTTGGTTTTGTCCTCAAATATTACTTTTAGAGAACTTAATTATCACAAAATAATTTTCCTTTCCCAGAAGTGCATACTGTACTCTCCATAGTTCCATATTCATGCATGTATCTTTACAACATAGATATAGTATGAAAAAGCATTGTCAATCAAGGGAGAGTGACTGCTTAAAGGTTATTTAAGTGGTGGATTCTAAGTAGATCTATGTTTCTGTAAATTAGTTCCAGATTTTGTTAAAAGAAAAAGGCAGCATTGAGCAGACGAAATACCACTACACAAAGAAAATATCATACAGATGTGTATATTGTTATAAAAAATGCATGGTTACGTTTTGTCTTTTTGTCTCGTCCTGTGTATTGATACTTTGCATTTTTAAAATATACCTTTTGAATGTAATTTTCCTATCATATTACAGAAATAGAAAAAAACGAACACAAAATAGGCAGAAGTAAGCAACATTTAATAAATGCTTTGAAGACTAATCCTTCATTAACTAAAGAATTACGAACGGTTTTGGAGCAGACCCTGGTGGAGAAGTTGGAATCCTTGGGAATTAAAGCAGTAAGGTTATTTTAAATGATTATTTTTCATTAAGTGGTGAGAAGGTCCTTTGTTCCACCTTTTTTCACTTTCTCCTTCACTTCCCTACCACAACCCTCAATGACCATTATGCCCGAATATCACTCCTGAGAGGAAGAACACACCTTGTCAGCCGGAGGTGGTTGCTAGAGACCATTGTGAAATGTCCCCTCATCCTCAAGATGATGTATTTTATCTTTAATGTCCACTGATTTAAGGTTGGATGTTTCCTTAGTTCCTATAGGGAAGTTATAGTGGGTGTTTTTATGCTGTTCTAATAGGTGCTCCCCACAATAATGCTTATGACAGGGTGCACTCACCTCTTGTAAGTGCCTCCTGTTGGCCGGGTGTGATCCTGCACTCTCTGCTCTCCCTGCAGGGCCGGCTCTGGCTTTTTTGCCGCCCCAGGCAAAAAAGCCTCCCGCCGCCCCCGGCGGGGAGCACAGTAGGGGAGGGCGGTGAGCCCGGCTGGGGCCCCGCTCTCCCCGACAGGCCGGAGCGCCGCGAGGAGGGCGGAGAGCCCAGCTGGGGCCCCGCTCTCCCCGACCGGCCGGAGCGCCGGGGGGAGGGCGGCGAGCCCGCCGCGGCTCCGCTCTCCCCGGCGGCCGGAGCGCCAGGGGGGAGGGCGGCAGGAGCTCTGGGGGGGAGGGCGGCGAGCCCGCTGCGGCTCCGCTCTCCCCGGCGGCCAGAGCGCCGTGGGGAGGGCTGCGAGCCCAGTCGCGGCCCCGCTCTCGGGCCTGAGCACCGCCCCCCTCCAGGTGCCGCCCCAAGCACATGCTTGGTAGGCTGATGCCTGGAGCCGGCCCTGTCTCCCTGGCGCCCCCGTCAGCTGTTGCCCTCATTAGACAGGTCTTTAGTGGCTCAGGCCTCTGGCTAAGACAACATAGTCAAAATGGATGAACTCCTGCCGGGGCAACAAAGGTCCAACAAAGACTATTGCCATGACCTTGTTGGTCTGCAGCCCTGTCTCTGGGTTTAGTTCTCAGCCCCTTCTAGGCTAGCTTTAAGTCTGTCCCTGCCCTGTTCAAAACCGTGCCCCCAGGGCTTTCTCCCTGGAGACTCTTTGCCTTCAGCAGTACTATGGTATCCCAACTCTCCAGACAAGTTACTCCTTAACTTCAGTCCCCTTCTGGGGTAACAAAGTTCAACAAGTAGTTGGCCCTTTTCAGGGTCTTCAGCTCCATCCCTGGGCCTGTTTAAATTCCCACCCATTTCTTGGGCTTTTATTGCAGAGTCTTATCCCCTCCTTCGGGATTAGGCCACTTCTCCAGTGGCCAGTGGGGGGGGACCTGGGCTTGCCCACTACTCCAAGTCCCAACCCTGGGACTCTATAGAAAACAGCCATGTACTACTTCCTCTACTTGGTTCCTGCTGCTATTCTCTGGGCTGCTTTCTACTCTGTCCCATCACCTTCTGGTCTGTTTCCTGTTTAAGCAGGGTATCTCCCAAGTATGGTTACCAGCTTTGAAATTAAAAAAAACCCAGCAAAGTCCTCCCCACCCCACCCTCCAAGGCAAGCCTGCCACAATCCCAACCCCAAACCACAAGGCAACTCCGCAAACTCCCCCCCCTTAACAGCCACTTATAGTATCTAGAGAGAAAACACATTTAGATAAGATTGATAACATCCCCAGTCTCCTCACTCTCACCTGTCTCAAGCCCTCTCTCACATACACGCACAGTGCGCTTGCATGTTGGTGGGACGCTGCTGCATTTTCAACAGTTTTGATCTGTTATCGCTTAAACTGTGGAAGTGGGAACACTGCAGCATCTTTAGCTGGACAGAGAAACTTTTAACATTAGATATCCCAGTGTATTGTGATAATAAATAATGCAAATCTTTAGACCCACATAAAAAAAACCTGGCAGATTAAAATTTTTTTCTGGCAACTGGCAAATCCATAAAAAAACCCAGCCTGGTCAGTGAAATACTGGCCAGGTGGTAACCCTCCTCCCAGGCCTCCTTGCCTGAAGAGATTCTCAGTCTCTGTCCCCTTTTAGTCAGGGCTCTCTTTCTCAGGCCTCTGTTCCTGGAGAGCTTCACAGTCCTATCCATGCATGAGCAGGGTTTCTCCCCAGTGGCTATTTGTGGAGTTTCATAGCCTTCTAGTCCTTTTTCGCCATTCTCGACTTCTGGTACCAGCCAGCAATTGTCCTTCATTGCTCCTTTCTTGGAGCAGGTGTGGTAGGATTGCAAGGCCTCCAGCAGGGGGCCGCAAAGGGCCCGATACACCCTGTCACAATGCTTTTTATCTTTTTCCCCTGCGGTAAAGAAAAATCAGAACCAATATGTATGTATTGGTAGTTTAATGTGTGTATTCCAGAGCTAACTTCTCTCCACTTGTCTAAACTTCACTAATATTACTATAATTCTCATAAATAACTTATTTATTATCATAAGGTTAAATGATATGGGGTTCTCAAATAAAACCTTAGATCTAGTACTTGCCATTATGCAAGTGCTCCTTGACTACAATTCAGGCAGCCACATCCAGGGCAGTGAGACTCCTTGGATTCGAGATTCCTTCAAGGATCAATCTGGAGCTGCCTTGGTACAGTTGTGCCTAGGGTGACCAGATGCCTTCGTTATTCTTGGGACTGGCCTGATATTACGGGGTTTGTCTTATATAGGATCCTATTACCCCTCTCCCATAGGACCCTATTACACACACACACACACACACACATGTCCCGATATTTCACACTTGCTATCTGGTCACCCTAGTTGTGCCTCACATTTGAGGGTCTCCCCTTTCTTCAAGTTGGATCTGATGAATTGAAGATTTCACATATGGCTTAGTCTTGCTCCTCTTTGTCCCTTGGGCTGCTTTGAGAATTGGCCCTTACTTTACACCCACTTTGTTCTTCTTGTGTTCCTCTGTCACTGAATGCTTTAGCAGAAAGTCTAAGGACCACACAAGTACAAAATCTTTCTCTTGTCTTGGAACCTCAGTTTCATTTTTGTCTCTGCCTGGGAAAGGGGATTGGATTTAAAATTTGTGTGGGTGGGAGGAGTTTCAAAAATTTTAAGCAAGATGTTTTATTTCTGACTTTCTTTTGGCTGCCGACATTGTTTAGTTGATTGAGGATTACAGTGGCTGCCAGAGAAAGCTAAATTGCAGACAATTAACTTCTCTCTCTTCCCCTGCATGCCTCTGCCATCCTGGGATTTTTCAGGGTCCTCAGCATTTTGATGTGTCTCCTCACCTCATTTTTTTTTTTAACCTGCCCTTGTTGGTCCCCACCAAGAATGAGCTCATCTGATTCCTAGAGTAGGTTCCCCTTTGTTGCTCCCCTGCTTATCTCAACCAGTTCACATTTCATTGCTAGATAGCGACTTATCTCTAGCACCCCTGAGGGAGAACAGGTTCTCAGTTTCCCACAATCTTCAAGCACTTCAGCCTTGCCTACACACACCAATTGTACCACTTTAACTATACCAGTATAGTTATAGATGTGCTTATACCAGTATTGCTTGCTCTGGAACAGAAAAGGGAATAAGCTATACTAGTATAAGGCATCTTTATTCCAGTATAACTGTTTGCACTAGTAACTATCAGTGTTTTAAAAAAAGGCTCTGAAGACATTCTCCCCCTCCCCCCCCCAAAGGCTTTGAGGTGACTGTAGTACAGTGAAGAAGAAACTCTGAATCTTCTGCCTCCTTCCAGTGCCAATGATTAGCCAAGCACTGATTGGGGCCAAGCTAAAGCCCTCACTGAGCACTGGATTCTTCATCTTGGGAAGTGTGACACTTGTGGTGGCCTTTTAAGAGAAACTAAACTGAATGATCCTTGAAATCCTACAACAAACTTAAAGTCAGCCTAGTTTTATTCCCTACTCATTTCTCTCCTAAGTCCATTATTCTATCCTTTCCATAACCCAGACTCTCAACCTCAGCAATATATTCAGTTTCTCTCTCCACCCCTGCCGCCTTCCCTTGCATCCAGGTTGGTGCCAAACCATGCTGCTTCTTCCTGTGTAGTATCTCAGAAATCTGTCCTTTGTACTCTACCCATTCCACGGTAAGTACCTTGGTTATCTCTAAGCTAAACTAACACAACCTCCTCCTACCAGTCCCACATCTCATCTCATCCCTCCTCCAACCAATCTTATCAAAATTCTGCTGCTGGAATAATGAACCTCTCCCTTCACAGAGGGTCCCCTTCTTTCTTTTAATCCCTTTGCTGACTTCCTTGCTCATTCAGAATCAATTTAGTGATTCCAGGGATGGATCCCCAGCTGGTGTAAGTCATCATAGCTCCATTGACTTCAGTGGAACTACAACAGTTTACTCAGTGAAGGATCTGGCCCTCTTGGCCAGTTGAACTCTTGTGATTTTATGGCAAGTCTCATGATATTTGGAGTGTCTGTCAAAGCTGCAGCTGCTGGAATCAAGAAATTGTGTGATGATCTCATTAAAAAAAGAGTTTCTAGCCCTAATGGTTGCTGAAGAGTACTTGAAAAAGTGAAATGAGTGCACCCAAAAAGTTCAGAAACTAGAAGGCAAAGAAAAAGAATTCAAAATTTATTATTTTGAAAAAACTCATAGTGGGGTCCGACTCATGGTTTTTAATTCTTTGTCAGTGTTGTATAAAAGGCTCTGTGTCGCTTTGCCTCCACCTGTGTTCTTTATTCTCCTTACCTCCCTTCTTCCTCGCACCCCCTTTGTATCCCCCTCTCACTTTTGTCTTTCACTTTCTTCTGTGGGGGTACTTACCTTTGGCACTCCCTCACTCTTCTCATGTGCTAAATGATGTTCCTCTTTTCTTTCAAATCCTCCTTAAAATGCACTTCTACAAAACACATTCAACAGTGTTTTCTAAACAGGATCTGATTCTCTTACAGTTTGAGCAGTCACCAAGTGCATTTTATGCTTGTAAATTCCACTGTCTGTGTATGAATTGGATTGTGGATAGTCCTTGGATCATAGGCTGTATCATGTTATATGTTCATACAGTACCAAGTACACTGTTGGTATTCAGTAAATAAGTAGTTGTAGGAATATACACATGTAGGGACAGTCCTTTCTATAAAGTTCATTAGGTTTTAGTCTGGGGAATCAATAACTGTTTTTGACTTCCATCTCTGTACAATATATGAGACCTGTTGTTTCTCAGCAATTGTCAAATGTCGTTTTCTGAAAGGTTTCTGTGTCTTCCACTTAGGAGATGTGAGATATCCCAGAGTTCACATATGCATTAGCATTCTGTTCTGAATGACAACAGAATATGCCCTAGTAATGCATTGTTTATAAAACAGCTGTGAAGCCATTACAAAAAGTATTTTACAATATATATATATATTTAGAAAAGTATTGTTTTCTGTTTGTTATGTAAAAGGTAATCAGAGGCTGACAAATAGGCATTGAGGATGGCATCATTGGTGGAGCAAGAGTGTAGAAGGTGATATGGTAAAAGCTGAAGGAGAAAAGGAGAGATAAAATTATACAGCGCCTTGAAGGTGTGAAGACAAAAGGTTTAAACTAAATGCAGTCAAAAAGGCTAAGCCAATGGTTTATAAAATGTAAGTGTTTTTATGTTAGTTATGCTGTCCATCAAACAGTAACTTGTATTATTTCTTCAGGGTGTTCGTGGTATCCCAAGTGACTACTTAAACAAAGTCTTAGTTTCTGTCGAATCTGCTAGAGAAGAGAAAGAGAAACAAGTGCCTGACATTCAACTAATTCGAGAGCATCTTGAACGCCAAGTCAGCTTCAGGATTGAGGAGAGATCTTCGTCTTGTAATAGGCTTGTTTCCAGCTCTCGTCTTGCTTCAGAAGGTTGGACAAATTTCAGAATTATTTTATTTTACTGGTACCAGGTTTTTTGAAATAATTCTGTTTGTGTACATTAGTCCCTAAAGTAAAAGTTTTGTGTGTACATTTATTTATGGTTGTGTTTGTAATCTTTTACATAAATAGCTATGTTATAGCTGCCAGCTACACTACACCACTTAAAAAGCGCTCTACTTTTTATTTGATTACAGAAGCGTTGTCTCTCTAATAATGGAGAAAATCAATGGCTGCTTTGAGCAGCATTCAAAGATTTTTTTTTTTATAGCCACAAGTTCACTTAAGATTTCTGATGAGCAACAACATCTACATTTCTTTTTAATATTCAGATTGATAACATAACTTCTTTTCTAGATAAACAGAAGATGGTTCATATGGCAACTTCCTCATCAACAGTGCAGCCAAAACCAGCAAAGCGGACTTCTACAGTTGTATGCCCAGTTGGACAAAGAATGACTTCTGCTGAGAATACATCTACACCAAAGTAAGAGACAGCACTTTCCTAGCACTTATGCCATAAATAACTCATTCGTGTTCTGCTAATAGTGTTATAGGTTTATTCTTCCTTTCATGAACAAGAGAGTTGATGTGAACATTTCTGGCTAGTTTTTAATGGGGATTAGTCACAAAATTACTATTTTTGTATATGAAGGAATAGATTTTTCACTGTATATGTAGTTGGCAGTCGGATTCTAGAAATAATTTGTTTTGTTTGTTATAGACCCAGGAAGCATGTTTTTCAAGAAGGGGTTTCCAGAAAAACATCTAGTATTGGGTAAGTTTTGCTCATTTCTGGTCTTGAAGAAATGGTTTTCTAGTGAACTGCCCTTGACTGGACATTGAAATTGCTAATACAAAAAAACATTAAGCTGAAATCAGAAGCTCTGTATTAATCATATGTTTTTTTCTTAAAATTTAATACCTATTGAGTCCATTGTTATAATCCCTAACAGAGGTCATGCTCTGATTTGAGCATGTGTATTCTTAATAATTGAGCAGGCAGAGCATAGAGTATCATGAGGTGATGTCACTTTTTTTGTCTGTCCCATATTATGTCTTTGCCTGTTGAGACCTTAATTTTTTAAGACTTTGTTGCTAATATTTTTGTTCCATTTTGTCAATATTTTTCTAGCATGTACAAATTGAACACAATATTCTAGGTGCTTTTCATGTCATGCATATTGCACCTGTACTCTGTAAATTGCTTAAGCTACCAATTTGTCTCTGGATGCCATTCAAGATATTAAGCTTGATTTGTAAAGTCCTAAATCGATTGGGTATTAATTATCTCAGAATTCACTTTTTCTGTGGGTGCCTGCTGACCAATTGAGATAAACTAGGAAGCTGCTGCTAACAGTCCCTAGGTTTTTTAACTGGGAGGAACCAGGAGCAGAATTTTCTTCGTGGAACATCTTTGACCCTGAACTTTGTTTTCCCTGTTGATCCATGAAAGCATACATTTGTTGATCTTGCAAGATTGACTATATGCTCTGGCTTTTGTTTTTGTGAGGATGTTTGCATTTGGGGTTATAAGTACATTCATTTTGGAATGATTTTGGGTTGTCAGTTTATTTAATAACTTCACATTTTTTAAATAGTTGTATATGCATTCCAGGTTACTGTAGATGATTTTTTTCAAACAGAAAAATGCATAAATGTATTGGAAAAAACACAGGAAGCTCAAAGTTGCGCAAATCTGTGTAATACTGAAACCCATTAAATCCTCATCTGATACTCTTTTATGTTTTAGCACTCCACCATTCAGCTCAGAAGAGGAAGTGGATGATGATGATATTATGCACTCTTATATATCACCAGAATTATTGCAGCTAAAAGCATCCAGCAACAGCATGAATAATTGTGGGATGGTTACAGGCAAAAGTGATATGGATTGGACTGAAGAAAGTGAAATGGAGGAGATTGAAACACCTTCCAAGCCTTCAAAAGGTTTTTTCATTATTTTTGTGTACATAAGTAATAATTTAAGGTAACGTATAAATGATTTTAAAATACCTAATAGGTGATAAAATCCGAGTTACAAAACACTCTAAAGCTAGAATATACATTATCGTGTATATTCCTCTCTATGCAAGTTCATAATATATTGTTCTTTTACTCTTATTAATATTACTGTAGTACTCAGAGACCCCAATTGAGATCAGACCCCAATTGTGCTGGGCACTGGATGAACGCAGATGAGAAGGTTAAGGCGTGACTTGATTACTGGTGATAGGTATCTACATGCAGAACAAATATAATAATGGGCTCTTCAGTCGAGCAGAAAAAGGCACAACACAATCCAATGGCTGGAAGTTGAAGTGACAAAAATGAATTTTTTCTGCTTTACTCCTATTAGCCGTATTAACTCTGCAGGGCTATCGGTGAGGGGGCTGGTGTGTGTTACTACTTTTGTGTCATCAACACAATTGTTTACTAAATTCCAGTTAAAGAAGCAATCATTTAATTACAGGACCAACCATTTATACCTATGCAATCCCATAAAAAACAATAAGATTACAGCAGTATCACTGAGCATAATTTGGCTTGCAGAATTTTTGTTATTGCTTCCATGAAAGAAGGAACCCAACTTGACTTAGATGTCCTGGACTGAATTTGCATGCCAGCAGGTAGAAAACATTTTTATTTGTAAAGTGAGCATATTATATGTCCTAATGATTGAGAAACAATAAACATGGAACCTCACTACCATTTTTAGTCACCTTTCTGAATAGAACTGCTGGGTTTTTTTTTAAATCTGCTGTACTGTAGAAATTAAAAAAACAAAAATAATAAATGGTGAAAAGTAAATTCATGTTTTTAATATCTTTCATTCATTAATCTAAGACTTGGTAAATGACATAGAAGGGGAGATACTTTTAAAATACCCTACTTTTAAACTGACAGTATCCCTGTAATTTTTTTAATGATTGTTTAGGTGCACTTATCCAAAAACTGACTGAACAAGTTGAAAAGACGCTTTCTAGCCATGGAAATAAGAATAAGCCAGCTGGAGGAATTAATGTCACACAGGCATTTATTAAAAAAGAAGATGCACAAGAACTGAAGGTATTACATTATTTGTTAATTACATTTATCTATACCAATACATGCTTCAGTTATTGTTGTTATTATTTTTGCTACTGTTTGTTTTCCATGTTAGGAAAAGTAAGATTAATGTGGTGCAGTAAAAATGTCATCCCCAATGCACTTGCAGAGTTTTACCTAAGTTGGGTCTCTTTCTTTACTTGTTTTTCCACATAGTCACATTTGTTCTTAGAAATGAGGGCTCAGAAAGACCTGTTTGATTATGTCATAGGCTAAAGTCTTTTTGTTTCTAGAACTTTGTCGGGTACAGAGGTGTCAAACTCCGTCTCTGAAGAGTACCGAATTCCTTTTCTAATTATTATCTCTATGTTGGTATAGATATTTAGGACTACATGCCAGGCTCAGACTCCAGCAGATCTCTCACTGATATCAGTGTGCTGTGTCTGCAGTTGGTCCAAGCTCCAGATCATTATCAGTGCTGCTCTTTGCCCTTCAGGGTTTCATCAATTCCAAGTCTTCCCAGTCATGCTTTGTAGTGGAATGAAAGCTCGGAGACACAATGGTCTTTATCCGAACAACTGTTTTGTGAGATCCCAAGTTACTCTAAGGAAAAAATCAGCAGTAGATATTAGAACGTCACTTATTTCAAGCTTGGGATTTGTGATCAACTTGGAGAAGACACCAAGACAATAGTTCTGGTAGCTCAAATCACAGTGTTTTCTAAGCTTTGGCAAGGGAGATTTACCCTCTCTACTCCCCCAGTGGCTGCACCTGTGGGGAGTTCTCTGGGGCAGTTGCTCCCTGGCAGAGGACTGGTTCTTCTTCTTTTCCCCTTCAAGAGAGGAGAGTCTGGCTGGAACAGGGGTCAGCCTCTCAGACAGCCCTTGGATAGGGCTTTACGGACTCAGTTTCTGAAAGTCTATTGCCCCTTCGCAGGGTTTACCTCCTACCCCTCTTCCTGGGGCGTGTTGCTTTGCTGTCAGCTGAGGCGGCTCTGGTGTGTTCCGTGGCTGTCTCCTCCTTGACTGGCCTGCTTCTGTTCCTATCAGTCTCTGCGTGGAGCAGCCTTCTTCGTGGTCACTGCCCTTTCCTATGGTAAGCTTTCCCTTTTAAGCCCCTCCTCCTCCTCCAGGAGGAACAAGCTGTGCAGCTGGGCTTCATCAGTGCAGCACAGGCCCAGGGGAGCTCATTAGCCTCCTCCTGGCCAGTGGGTGGGCATGTCCCTTCAGAGATACATATGCAGGGGATCATGTTATTCATCATCAAACTAGTGCCATGGAGCTTAGTAACACTTCCTTCCTAGCTCAGTGGAGTCTGAAAGGAGAAAGTTTAAGATCCATCATTTTCTTTGGACACTGTATCACTCCTCCCTGAAATGAATGGGAATTCCATTTCCTGAAGTGGTTACTGTTAATGAACTCTTGTTCCACATGTTTTCCTTCTGGCTTTAGTTGCAGTTACTGTGTAACAGCAATGCAATCAGAATCAGCTTAAGAGACCTTGACCAAGAAGGGCAAGCAGTACCATGTCATTGCCCAGGAGCTCTTAAAGGTCCTTCACCTTAAGGGATCATATATGCACTCTTTCTGTCTTGATGCGAGCAGACAGCATGGTACATGTTGCTTATATCAACAAGTTCCGGGGAGTTGAAGGGTCATCAGAATTCAGGCTATGGGCAGAATCCCATATCCAAGCTTTGTGGGTATCACACTTAGTGGGGAAGCAACTAGGAGAGTGGTCATTAAAAATTATTGTTTTATCAGATATGCCAAGATGAAGAGTAATACTCAGTAGCAGGAGTTTTGCAACAGATTCAGAGATGGCAGCCTGGGCATTGAAAGCATTTTCCATCCAGAGTCTTTGGACTTCCTTCCCATTCACTGACCTTGCTAAGCCAAAGACCACGTAAATTCAGGCCTTCTTGTCACAGTTCCTGAGGTAATTGCACCTCTGACTCCTTTGTGACCTACTTGAGGATACCCACACTTCCCCCTAAGTCATTAATTGCTTCTGTTTCCTGAAAGAACTTAACCCCTTCATACCCAGTTGCTAACAATACAAAGGGAAAGGGAAAACTGAGTAACACCTTTTCATAAAAATAAATCAGAAGTGTCCCAGTCCTCCAAACTTCAATCCTGCCTACAGCTTCTTCTAAGTGCCCCACAAAAACTCATCCTGAAAATCTGGTTCTTGAAAGGGTCTCTGTAGCTCATCTGAGCTTAACGACCAGGGTAGTCCAAATCCTTTTCACTTATTGAAAGTCAGTAATGTGAAGGTAAGTTCTTCTTTGAGTGCTTGCACATGTCCATTCCAGTGTAGATGTATGTGCACCCCGAGCATAGTTGCCAGAATTTTTTCCCTTTGTGATATCCGTTGGGTCAACTGTAGTGCCCCCTGACGTCGTGCATTCATAGTGTCGGTATAAAGGGCGCTGCCGACCCCACTCCCCTTTAGTTCCTTCTTGCTGCCCATGACAGTTGTTGGAACCCTCATTGCCTAGGTAATCCTCCTCTTAGTGGTTTTCCTCTCAGTTTTTAGTGTAAATAGTTGTTGTTGTTTTTAGTAGTTAGTGTAGTTTTAGTAGTTTCTAGATAGTTTGGACTCCTCCGCTCTTAGATTGCAGGGTTGTCCATTGTCCCAATCTGAGTTATGCCGTGGTCATGGAGTTCAAGCCTTGTGCTTTGTGCAGTAAGTCTATGCCTTTGAGTGACCTGCACTCGAGCTGACTCAAGTGCAGGGCCGTAGCAACAAAGAACGTGGCCCCCTCCGAACGGTGGCCCCCTCCGAACATATGTCCGGGCGGGGCCCCTTACAATGCAGAAACTGGAATGCGGTATTTATTTTGCCACTTTTAGGGGCCCCCTTCCTTGCGGGGCCCCCTCTGGTCGGAGGGTACGGAGGGCGCTCGCTACGCCTCTGCTCAAGTGCTAAGGGGAAGCTCATAGGAAAGACCGCTGCCAAATTTGCAAGGAGTTTAAGCCCCAGATTCAGAACGACCAAGCTGCTCGATTGAAGGTCCTCCTCATGGAGACGGCCCTAAAACCAGCCTTGGAGCTGCACTCGGACTCGGCATTGAGTACCTCGGCCTCAGTGCAGAGTATTCCTCCATCAATCCGGGTCTCCTGGCATCGATCATTTTCCTTGGTGCCCAAGAAGAAACACCACAAGCACCAGGAGAAGAGCAGATTTCTGGTGCCGAAGGACTAGGGAGAGAGCGAGATCCATGGGGGGCCACTCTTCATCCCCGGAGCCTCACTGTCAGGTACCCACACCCAAAGCACTGCAGCGCTCTGTGACTCTTACTATGGGTCAGTGCACCAGCCAGTTTATGGTGCCATTGACTCCGAGGCCTTCACTGCGACAAGGGACCTTCTAACCCTCACCAGAGAGTCAGGACCCAACACCTCTGGTGCCCACAGTTGTAAAGGAATCACCACCAGCTCCGCACCTAGTACCGCGACAGCTTTCCTAGGGAGCACCCTCACTGACAGCTGCATGATCTCTTCGGCAACCCTCTCTGGCACCGAGTGGCACGGAACCACCCTGGTCTCTGCAGCGCAGCTCATAATCATTGGACTTAAAAGAGGGATCGTATTCCCCCCATAGACGCAGCCAACCCAGCTGCTCCTCAGGCCGTTCTTACCCCACCTCGGCACTGAGTTCTTCAGTACCACTGGGCACCTGGCCATCATATCCATGGGATCCGCCTACCATGCAGTGGCTCTTCTGGAACCCGTGAGGAGGAACATGGGATTTAGGCGCAAGCCCCCTTACCAATATTCCTTGACAGGCCCAACACAGTCGGCCCCCAGACACCTCAAGTCATCCAACCACTGGTTTTGATGAGATGCTCGAGGTTGAAATCACAATCCCCTATGTTTTGGATCCAGCTTACCCCCCTGTTCTCCAACTGCCTTTACTATTTCCTGGATATCTTGAACAGGGGGGGTAAGCTGGATCCAAAACATTGGGGATTGCGATGTCACCAGTTGAGACCACACCCATTATTCATTCCATAGTGGTCTCTCAATTCCACTGCAATCAAGCTATTTTTCTGCCAGTGTTCTATCCTAAGCCATGTACAAATAGAGAAGAACAGTGTCTCCATTCATTGGATGTTTGGCATGCCCTGTCCTTTTACATACAAAGAACCAAACTATTCTGCAGATCCACTCAGCTATTCATAGTGATAGCGAAAAGAACGAAAGATCTCCCCATTTCTGTACAGAGACTCTGGTCGTGAATTACCTTGTGTATCAGAGCATGTTACAAGCTTGCGTATATTCTGCCCCCGGCTAACCTAATGGCACATTCTACAAGGTCTCAAGCCTCCTCTGTCGCTTTTTTGACACAAATTCCAATTCAGGACATCTGCAGGCAGGCAACTTGGTTGTCAGTTCATATGTTCAAGACACACTACGCCATTACGCAACAGGCCAGAGATGATACTGGCTTTGGTCGAGCTGTTACAGTCGGCATGTCCTTAATCTCCGAACCCATCTCCAGTGCAGCTGCTTGTGAGTCACCTACGTTGGAATGGACATGTGCAAGCACTCCAAGAAGAAAAAACTGCTACTAACCTTTCTGTAACTGTTGTTCTTGAGATGCATTGCACATGGCCATTCCAAAACCCTCCCTCCATCCCCTCTCTCGGAGACGGTCGGCAAGGAGCAGGGTTGGCAGGGCTCTTTATACCCACACTATGTTCGCACAACACCAGGGGGCACTAGAGCTGACCCAACAGATACCACTAAGGGAAAAAATGCCGGCAACTGTGCTTTGAGTGTGTACACACCTACATTGGAGTGGACATGTGCAACACATCTCAAAGAATAACAGTTAGAGAAAGGTTAGTAACCATTTTTTCTACCATTCCTGGAGGATGTTCTCCAAATGGTGCTTCTGAAAAGTGTATGAGGCTAGGTCTTTCTGACATCTCAGATCCTAAAATTAATTGGATGAGTAGGGCGGAAAATGAATTGGCGTAGAGTATCCCTAAAGGGCAGACTTCAGCATTCTGAGCCATTCAGGAGAAAATTGAGTTTCAGTCTATAGGTTCCTATTCCTTTATTGTGTAGATTCTTCATTGTGGCGACGAGAAAGGAAAGGAGACAGAAAGCCAGGTCGTGGTAGC